TCTGCGTACACAGCTGACACGTCACCGTTTGACTGTCCACTTTCTCTGGGTAACCGGTTCAGGTTGCATGGTACTGCTTCAACATATCCTCAGGGACAGGCACACAGAAAGGTTACTTACCAGTGATGGGAAGTCTTACAGACAAGTTGTCTTTAGGGAAATGTCTCTTCTTACCATGAATTCCCTTTTTTTTTCTCATGGGATTTGAATCAGCTGACACGTCACCGTTTGACTGTCCACTTTCTCTGGGTAACCGGTTCAGGTTGCATGGTACTGCTTCAACATATCCTCAGGGACAGGCACACAGAAAGGTTACTTACCAGTGATGGGAAGTCTTACAGACAAGTTGTCTTTAGGGAAATGTCTCTTCTTACCATGAATTCCCTTTTTTTTTCTCATGGGATTTGAATGTTTAGAAGAATGGGAGGAGTAGAGTTGGCTTCTCCTTTTGGGCTGCGTTCAAGCAAAGGTGGGAAGAGTCCCACAGTAAGCACCTTGCAAACAGGTATTCCTGAGGCAAAAAAGTCTCCGTTATTTAGTGCTTGACTGAAGTCTTGCATGTGTGGATAGCACATCTTAATCTCCAGTTGCTGATAACTTCCAGTTACCAGTAAGCGGCTTCACCTTGATGGAGTGTCACTTGTTGGTTTGGGGAGCCAGCAGGGACTGATGGAAGGGCGTTACTGATAAAACGATAACGAAGTAGAGTTGCCTGCTTGGCTGCTGGGACTGCAGCGAGAGCACAGGCCACAGGCAGCTCTAGAGCCTGGAGGCCTGCCCAGAAGGAGCTGCAGCCTCCCTGCCTCTCCTTTTGCCGGCCTACAGTGCCCACGCGGTTTGGGGGTTTGCTGTCGTGGCAGTTTGAACGGCTGGGTAAGGGGCAGCGAAGAACTCCACGTCAGGCGGGTGGCTGGGGATCCCAGGCTTGACTGAGGCTGCTGAGCAGTCAGTGCTTGCCCCCGGCCAGGCGCTGGGAGTTCATCTGCTGGAAAGCCTGCTGAGGCCTGACTGAAAGTCCCACAGAGCTGTGCCCTTCACACTGTTAGGCAGCTTTTTCCAGTAAGAGGGAGAAGGGGGATTATTGTTATCTATTTCATTCCAAGGCTGCTAATGGTCAGGAGAAATGACAATTCCTGGTTCTGTGCTGGGAGAGTCAGCTCAGGGTCTGATGGCTAATTCAGGTGTCACTTTTATGTAATTGTATTGAGCTAGTTTTGTCAATAATACTATTTTTACCGTATATTAATCAATACATATTTTGTTAAACATGTTACAGGCTGATACAGGAACATAAGCTGCAGTAAAATAGTTCAGACATTTACAAAGCAGGGCCCTGTGAATACCACACGTTGAAGGTGAGTTTTACTTACACCTTGCTGTTTAGTAGAGCTTATCACCAGCTGACCCTGAGAAGCAGCTG